TGTCCTGTGAAGGTCCTTCCACCACTCTGAACACAAAGTGTCCATCAGACAGCTGATCAGGAAACTCTGAGGCTTGAGGTGACAGCAGCTAGAAAGCGTTACTTGGGAGTCCGAGTTACCAAATTAGGGAACACACCTTTGTGCATCCAGCACCTGGAATCCACCTTGATTTGCATGGAGTTCCTGATATCCACCATCCACCCAGTGAGGCCTCAAACCTGTGCTTGTTGGATGTCAAATTACTAACTAGTGACGATTCTTCTGGGGTTGGGGGGGGGGGGGGAGGGGGGGCGAGTTAGTGGGGTCTCCGAGGAGCTGATCCAAGGTGACTTGTTTGGAAACGGAATGTCAGATTCGAGCCAACCTTCTGGTCTCAGTAGTTCCTGAGCCAGGTAGGTCTGCAGTACTCCAGTACACTACCAGCCTGGTTCATCGGCAGGACTTGAAATGGCAGACCAGTCACTTGGGGTAAGGAATCCTCCTTCAAGGCAAAGCCCTAAAGGGTAGGATGATGGGAAAGCTTGCTAGGCCGTGCTCTCAAGCTATGAGGTTTTCGTTGGTTAGACTCCAGTACCCCAAAAAACATTCTGGGGTCCCCAAGCTCTTGCCAACCGGAGCTTAATACTCTCCAGAATTCGGATGTGACCCCCAAGGAGGGACTGTAAATTCCATTCTAATAAATATCTCAGGAAATTCGATGTGTAAGTAGTATCCGTGGAACTCCATTTGATTTGGATACTCAAGCATGTTGATGGGTTTGTGCATATGTTAGACTCTGACCAACAAAACACACTATGCTACCACCTGTGAAGGAGTGACATAAATACAAGTTGTTGCTGTTGTCGTCATTTACTTTAATGCAGTTTTGTGGGACATTGCTCTGTGTAAATTGGCTGCTGCGTTTGCCTACAAAATACACAGTGACAGCACTTAATAATAATAATCCTTGCATTTGATATAGGGCTTTTCACGTCTTCTACACGTCTCAAAGCGCTTCACAGAATATACTTTAAAGTGAATTGACTGTATATTTGTGAGCGAAACACGGCAGCCAATTGCGCACAGCGGTGTCCCACAAACAGTCGTAGATTGTGTGACCAAATCATTATTGCTTTTTTCTTGAGGGATTATTATCAGGCGTGGGAGTGAGGAAACTTGCCCAAGGTTTTGCCCGGCTGGGAATCAAACCCAGATCTCTCGCTTGCAAGCCGAGCGCTCTAACCACTGAGCTACAGGACACTTACAGTAAATCCTGTTAAGCGCTTTGAACAACAACAATTTGCATTGATATAGTGCTCTTCACGTGGGGTGCGTCTCAGAGAGCTTGATAATTTGTGCCTGTTGTCTTCCTGACATAACAAGCACCGTTGCCAAAAGCAATAATTAATTATTTAAAGTTTAGTAGGCGATGTATTGATGTTCAAAACTAAGGGCAGAAAATAACACTTAAGACTTTTAAATCTTTTGCCTATTTCAAACACAAAATATACCCATACCATGCATTCTCTGGCTGAGTAGATAGAAAAGTGTCAAGGTTGAACCCATTTGTTGGTGCATGAGTAATGTCGACCCTGAACTCTGTCTCCAATTCCCCCTGTCCCTCCCTGCCTCTCAATGGGATAATACCAACATCACACCACCTTCCACGACACAGCAAGTGACTAGGAAGCGATCACGTCCAAAACAGGAGGTGCAACCTCACATCCTTCCAGTCAGCTGCACAATGTATCTGAGCTTCAATTTCTCACTGCACAGAGCACCATGACACCTCCTCTATCCCCCCACCATTTAAAATAATAACAGGACGTGCATGAGAATAACCGAATGACAATGGGATCATGTTTGTAAATAGAGCTCACATCTGTTTCCATCATTAACTGAATATGATATTCCCAAAGAAATTGGACATCGACCAAAAATTACATACACTATTTCACCCCCTTTTGGCTACGCTGTACAACAAATGTGACACACACACACACACACACACACACAGACACAGAGCAACTGGTAGGGTTCCAATAAACAGGGTGACCACATTTTGTGAACCAAATCCAGGGACACATATACAAAACATTGAACTCATCACAGTTCCTGATGAAGCTTGTTGGATTAATGGCTGCATTTCTCTGATGAGTGCATCTGTTTTATAATTTTATTGTTCTTGCTCAGTTTGTTGCTGAACTCAAGACAGGACAAATTTGGCCAGGGACACAGTACCTCATCTGGGGACTGTTCGTGGAAATCAGGGATGTATGGTCAACCTATCTAATAATATCGAGCTCAGGGGGATCTGGGCAATAGGTTTGCTGTCTCTCGGTGTGTTCAAAGTTCAACAAATTCTACTTTAAAGATCTGCAAAGCAGAGTAATAATAACTCAAATAATAATCCTTGAATTTGATATAGCGCCTTCTCCTGGCTTCTAGACGTCTCAAAGTGCTTCACAGAATTGACTTGTATTTTGTGAGCGAAACAGAGCAGCTAGTGGCGCACAACAGAGTCCCACAAAGTCATGGATTGAAATAACAACAACTTGCATTTAGAATCGGGCCCTTCATAAGGGGGTAGCGCCCCAAAGTGCTTTGTGACTTATTGGAGGGGAAAAAGGCAAGGAGCACTTTCTCACTCTAGAAATGAGAGAGGAAGACTGGAAACACAGCTGATCCCTGCAGCTGCCTGGTCTAGAGAAGCAACTAACAGGCTCTCAGATGCAACCCTATTTAAAGCCGATAAGCCCTAGAGATCATATGACCATGTGGAAGGAGAGGAAAGGGGGAGAGAGAGAGAAACATGGGATTTTAGGGAGCGCAGAGCATATGGAGGGGGTGATGTTTTGATTTCTTTTCGGATAAGCGTTAGATGAAGCCACCGTGTGAGTCGACAGAAAGGAGTATACTCCGACTTGTCCCTGTGCTAACCCTTAATATCTAATTACCAGCAGGAAAAGTATAAAGTAACTTCTGTTCTTTAATCAAGCTGTGCTGCTGGGAGCCCTTGATCGAATTTAGCTGATTTCCAACTTTACTGAGTACTGGCAGATGAAGTCAATTTCAAACTTTTTTTTTCTTCCTTTCCCCCCCCACTGGGCTCAAACAGTGGTGAATATCTCTCTTAATCTGGTGAATAAGAAAAGTATGCTTCTTTCCCCTTGAATTAACAAGTAATATGTGTGGTGGTGGTGGAGGGGGGGAGAGAGAAGAAGAGAGTTGGGAACTAGAGTAGTGTCCATCTAAGTTTTCACTGTCTTCGTGTGTGCAATACATCCCAAGATTAATAAATCGACCAGAGAAAAAAAACTACGACTAAGAAAGTGAAAGTGAAGGGAGAAGGAGATGCTTTGAAATGGGATGTTTCGCACTGCGATGACAACCAAATGTTTCACAGGGGTTTACACGCAGCTCTGTCTCCCACTGATGGTGTGCACATGTTTCTAAAATGTGTGTTTATGGGAGGGGACAGTCATCAATAAACAGATCTCACCTACACACGAGTGTTTACGTTATCGGTTACCAATTCTGTGGCAAAGTGTAGCAGAAATGCTGCATAACAATGTATCCCATTCACCAGCCCGAGCTCTCTCTCTGTGGTGATGCTGTATAAGGGCTGTAACTGGGCTGAAAGCAAACACAGTTTAACTGCACTCAATAGCTCTCAAGTTTTTGCTGCTGTTTCAGAAGCAGGAGGAGGACTTCTCCGAGCCTTCAGCTCCCCTCTCGACTCTCTTCCTCCTCCTCGCTCCCTCCCTTCCCTCCCCTCACCCTGACCATTTCCCCCCTCCTCGCTCCCTCCTTCCCTCCCTCACCCTGACCATTTCCCCCCTCCTCTCTCCCTCCTTCCCTCCCCTCACCCTGACCATTTCCCCCCTGCTCGGGTCATGACCCAACTGTGCAGCGCCTTGGGACGTCCTCCTGACGTGAAAGGCGCTCTATAAATGGAATCTTGTTGTTGTTGTTGTTGTTGTTCTGTTTTGGTGAAATTAACTACGAGGGTGTGTGTGTGTGTGTGTGAGTGAGTGAGTGAGTGTGTGTGTGTGTGGAAGGGGGGACTAAAGAGTGGCGTTGTCTTGTGGACAGCTGATCATTTCCAGCCCCTCTGTGGAATAATAGGTCCTGTTGTACAACGCCTTTCAAGTGTTAATTAGTCCCCCCCCCCCACCCCCCCCCACACCCCCACACACACCCCCCACACCCCCACACACACCCCCCACCACACCATGAAACACCTACAAATCAAATAAAAGTCACTTCTTCAGAATAGGAAGTTTTCCCCCCAAACAAGACAGCACTCTGTGAAGTGATATTTATAATATTTATAATATCACACACACCACACACATATATATATATATATATATTATATATATATGGCAATCAAAGCCCTAATACAGTCTATATAATCTGATGCTGGAAATGCACCAAGAGACAGGAAACCAGTCTGGTTCTTAGGTACCAGGGTATGAATCACTGCAATTTAATAACATCTCTGCTCAGATCGTTCAACAACAACAACAACAACAACGCCGATTTTATATATTTAAAAAAAAGTAAAGTTTAATTCAGTCTCTCTTCTGTGTGTGTGTGTGTGTGTGGATCAATTCAAACCAATGAGGCAGAGGTTCAATCCAGTCCAAATCAGTCAGAAAGTGTGTGTGTGTGTGTGTGTGTGTGTGGGGTTACTATTAAATAAAGAAGACGAGGACAGTAACATTTGAGCAGCAAAAGAAAAGCATTGCCCACCACATAAAGAGAGAGAGAGAGAGAGAGGTGGGGATGGGGTGATGGGGTGAATGAAGGAAAGCAAAATGCAAAGAAAAAAAGCACGGGGTGGGGGTTGGGGGGGGGGGGGTGGGGGTTGGGGGGGGGGTTGTTGGTTGGTTGGTTGGTTAGTTGGTTGGTTGTTTAATTTGCAATGCAATGCAATGTATATATATATATATATATATATTTGTATAAAAAAAAGTCTATGAAAGAGAGAAAAATAAAAGCGACGTTGCTCTCACCGTCCTTCGCTGCGAACAGGGCATCGGAAATGCTGAGCAAAGCGGAGAGGATTCGCAAAGCCTCTGCCACAGCACTGCGCCCGACGGCTCCTCTTGGCATCTTGTGCAGACGGCGGGACAGGTCTGAGAGAGTCTCATCAGACTGTAGGAGGGACTGTCTGGGAGATCAGCCCCATCACACACTGGGTATATATATCTACACACACACACACACAGGGAGAGGGAGGGAGGGAGGGGAGTGGGAGAGAGAGAAGGAGGGAGGGAGGGAGGGGGAGTGGGAGAGAGTCAGGATGTGAGAGGTTTCCGGCAAAGACGGTCGCTCACCCTCTTTCACAACCCCCCACACACACACACTCTCTCTCTCTCTCTCTCCCACTCTCCTCTCTCTCTCCCCCCACACACTCTCTCTCTCTCTCTCCCACACTCTCTCTCTCTCTCTCCCACACTCTCTCTCCCCCACACACACTCTCTCTCTCTCTCTCTCTCCACACTCTCCCCCACACACACACTCTCTCTCTCTCCCACACTCCCCCCCCACACACTCTCTCTCTCTCTCTCCCCCCCCCCCTCTCTCTCCCCCCCCACACACTCTCTCTCTCTCTCTCTCTCTCTCCCACTCTCCCCCACACACCACTCTCTCTCTCTCCCACACACTCTCTCCCTCTCCCACACACTCTCTCTCTCTCTCTCCCACACTCTCTCCCCCCCACACACTCTCTCTCTCTCTCTCCCACACTCTCTCTCCCCCCACACTCTCTCTCTCTCTCTCCTCCCACACTCTCTCTCCCCCCACACTCTCTCTCTCTCTCTCTCTCCCACACTCTCCCCCACACTCTCTCTCTCTCTCTCCCCCACACACACACTCTCTCTCTCACACTCTCCCCCACACACACTCTCTCTCTCTCTCTCCCCCACACACACACACTCTCTCTCTCCCACACTCTCTCTCCCCCCCACACACACACTCTCTCTCTCCCCCCACACACTCTCTCTCTCCCCCCCCCTCACACACACTCTCTCTCTCTCCCCCCCCCCCCCCCCCCACACTCTCTCTCTCTCCCCCCGCCCCCCCCCCCCCCCTCCCAAGGCTGAGCTGCTTCTCTCTTTCTCTCTCTCTCCCTCTGTTACTGTCACAAAGTTCACTCCGGACGATCATATACAAAGACATGTGTTTCCCCCCAACCTCAACCCCTCACTCACCCCCCCACCACCTCACCCCTCACTCCCCCCCCACCTCACCACCACCTCACCCCTCACTCTCCCCCACCTCACCCCTCACTCCCCCCCACCTCACCCCTTACTCCCCCCCACCACCTCACCACCACCTCACCCTTCACTCTCCCCCACCTCACCCCTCACTCCCCCCCACTCTCACCCCTCACTCCCCCCCACCACCTCACCCCTCACTCCCCCTCACCACCTCACCCCTCACTCCCCCCCCACCTCACCCCTCACTCCCCCCCACCACCTCACCACCACCTCACCCCTCACTCCCCCCATCTCACCCCTCACTCCCCCCCACCACCTCACCCCTCACTCCACCTCACCCCTCACTCCCCCCCACCACCTCACCACCACCTCACCCCTCACTCCCCTCACCCCTCACTCCCCCCCACCACCTCACCACCACCTCACCCCTCACTCCCCCCCACCACCTCACCCCTCACTCTCCCCACCTCACCCCTCACTCCCCCCCATCTCACCCCTCACTCCCCTCACCACCTCACCCCTCACTCCCCCCCATCTCACCCCTCACTCCCCCCACCACCTCACCCCTCACTCCCCCCCATCTCACCCCTCACTCTCCCCCCCACCTCACCCCTCACTCTCCCCTCCACCTCACCCCTCACTCCCCCCACCTCACCCCTCACTCCCCCTCCCCCCACTTCACCCCTCACTCCCCCTCCCCCCACCTCACCCCTCACTCCCCCTCCCCCAACCTCAGCCCTCACTCCCCCCACCCCCCACCTCAGCCCTCACTCCCCCCTCCCCCCACCCCCCACCTCAGCCCTCACTCCCCCCACCACCACCAAAAAAACAGCTGAGATGGACTGAGTTGCCCAAGAAACCCCCCCCCCTCCCCCTTGGGTTTGTCTCAATGGTCTCCCATCACACGAGGAGCTGATCCAAAGCTGCTTTTCTTTGAATTTTTCTTTTTATTATTATATTTTGCAGCTTTTTTTTTGTTGCTTTAAGAGTCGAAAAGCTTTTCCAGTACTTGTCCGACCACGACTGCAGATTTCCGTGCGGTCTTAGTGGCCAATTTCTCTCTTCCTTTCCTTTCCTCCCCCCTCCTCCACCCCCCACCACCACTCCCCTCCCCTCCTTCCTTCTCCTCCTCTTCTTCCAGTCATTAAAATCCTTTCAGTTCGGTTCGGGGGAAAAAAATATGAATGGACCAATCCGACTGATGTGAGCGAGAGTTAGAGCTGGAGCCGAATTTTTCTTCGGCTGCTTTCTGCAAGTCGTCTTGCGTTAATACTTTCAACAGGAGTTGGGTTTATGGGACACTTTCATGTGATATTTGCAAACTCTCTCTCTCTCACTCTCTCCTCTCTCTCTCTCTCTCTCTCTCTCTCTCTCGCGAGCGCGCTGAATTTAAAATATACAGTCACTACACTTTACGGTATATTCCGTGAAGCGCTTTGAGACGTCTCAATGACGTGATTGATGCATTCTACATCGAATGCATGGATTATTATTATGACATTCATGTGATGTTGTGTGAGCTGGGGGGAGGGACAATAATATGTCAAATAAGTGTTAACACCTGGGCAAAATCGCTGGCAATACATTAAAATAAAACTGAGACCATCATCGCGGAAGATTTTCAGTGGAAATTGTCTTTTTTATTCTGCTACTCTTATTCGCCTAAATAAAACACCCAGTGACTATACTTTGAAGTGAAGGACATCCTCTCCACATGAATGGTGGAACAGTGCTATATCAAACGTAATCTTGTTAAGCCGTCTGCATCGCTGCCCGTGTGAAAGGCACTGTCTAAATGCAAGTTGCTATTATTGAGGTAAAGCTTATTATTATCTCGTGGAGTCATGTGGCATAGTGGCACTTACGTTTGAGACTTATTTGATACTCTTCTCAAATGAATGCTTTCTTGCTACGGCGCACAATTGATCTAAGACACTCTCCCTGGGCACTTTAGTTCAACTGAGTTTTGATATATTTAATGTAGAATTGCCGGTTGAATCTCTATTCTACTCTTTGGCTCGATTGTCCAAAGCTTGATAAAAGTAAAAGGTAGAAATGAACAACACAACTGATATCAGGGTTTTCTGCTTGGGCTCTTTAGTCGTTTTCCTTTATTTTACACGGGATTGAAAAAGTAAATCCAGAACAATACTTTAGGATGCACCAGATACAGGAGAACAAGAAGATAGAGGTTTAGAGTTGCAAAGGGAGTTTCAGGAAAGACACCAGGACATTTTTCTTCACTGGGGGTATTTAATGACTGGAACAGGTCACCAGGAAGGGTGGCCGTGAACATGACTCTGGACTCATTTAAAAAACGGCTTGAAGGTGTAATGGTGGGTGGGGGGGGGGCAGGTATTCTGGAAGAATAAGATGGGTTGACTATTATTACAAGAAATATCATTCTTCAATTCATTTATAGATAGTAAGAGCAGTAATAGAATCCTTTTGTTTGTTAAACAAAGGAGCTCACAAATTGACACCTACCAACCACCCCAAAGTGTGTTTGGAAAGTAATTTTGGAGAAAGCAGAATTGGTCAAAAATAATAGATTAACACACCTTTCTGCCAGTGAATATAAGCTATTATGGAACAACTTTGGAGTTTTATTATGTTCCTTGCTAATTTACCAAACTACTGTACTGTGCACATATAATACCACAATGGAAACATTAGAAGAAAAAGGGTAATGTTATGATTTTAGGAATTTCCAAATTGACTGCCAGAAAAAGTCTTAACAATAAGATGCAGTATGTTGGCTCTGTCGAGTTTACCTAGCAAAAAATGTGCATGTGCATAAACAGCTCAGTTTGTGGCATCATCACTTTTACTGCCTCGTAAACCTGGCAACTCCAACATATATCACTTAAATATTTATGAAATATATCTTTGTTCTTGATCCAGAATTTTTTTTAATGTAAGTCAGCTTATTTATTTAGGCACTTCATATAGAAAACAATTATAGAAAAATATTAGGCGTTGACTGAGATCCAAAATCTTTTGACAGTATTATGTTACAAGCCAAATATCTGAGTATAGATTTACAGAAATGTGATGAGGTGGTACTGACTAAAGACCATGCAGTGAGGATGAATTCCTGCTCAAGAGAAGAAAATTAGACCTAATCAGTAAAACCAGTTGAGCATTGTGGTGCTTGTTTCATTATTGTTTGCTCTCATTGGAAAAATCTGCCGAATAATCTTTGGGACAGTGGTTTGCAACCGGTGGACAGATGAATTTCGCAATAAAGTAATAACAGTAATCCTTGTGTTTGACAAAGCACTTACCATAATATTCAAAGCCTCAAAAGCACATCACAAGCCTGTAGTATGCTATAGTCTGTATCTGTAGGTAAATCTAACCAGGTAGTAAAAGAGTAGTATTGAAGACTATGAAGTTGAACCGATGTAATATCAGATCTTGGATGTACAATCTGTGACAAAGCTTTTGTCTTAAATAATGTTAGTAATTGAAAAATAAACCAATTCTTGGGGTTGTCATTTTGGAAACAGGACTCTGAACAGCTAAAATGGCCTATTGTACAGTGGGTACATTATCTCAGTGACAAACATTTTTATTACACAACAACAATTCCCATTTTCGGCAATTGGACCCTGTTGCTGAACATCCCAAGGCCCTGGTTCATTCCAGTGATTTTTCTTGAAAAGCCTTAGCTAGGATCTAACCCCTTTATTTTTTTCTCTTCTAAAATTTGTAGCGAACATCAATGTGTTTAGATTACTTCCAATTGCAGACAAATATTGCAGTACAGTACTAAGGGAGCTTTATATATGTGGAGGTGGTATCCTTTGGATGAGACATTGAACCGAGGTTTAATGTTCAGGAGGACATTAAAGATCCCACAACACTATTTGAAAAAAGAAGTGAGATATTCACAGTGTTCTGATCGACAATCCTCCAGAACAATTGGCAGATTGTGTCACTTTGTTGGTGCAAATGGCTGTGGTGTTTGCTTACAGTTAATCAACTTGATAGAAATTAC